TTTTTTTTAAGGTTTCAAGGACTGCCACTGCATGTCGCGCTCAAAGACAAATAAAATGTTTAAAACTCACAAATCATTTTTTATACGTTTCATTGACCAGTATTTGATGGATCGGCCTCAGTACAAAACCTATCAAACTCCTATCAAATAAAATGTGATAATAAACTGTTTGTTGCAGCAATGAGAGTTCGTTTTTAGACTTCATACATGCTGCTTTCAGAAGAAATGAACGATACAAACGGTAAAAAATTCCTAGATAACAAAATAGTATCAGTTGCACACTGCTGTCACTCAGTGCTTTCAGTTGTCAGAGCTCTACTATTTATTACACATTTGTAACAATTCAGTGAACCGTTGACTAATTGGCGACTGTTAAATTTACTGCATTCAAGTGAAAGTTGAATGAGACAAAACAAGAAAGAAAGAGGAAGATTCAAGCGAAAAGAAATTTGACTGTAAATTGAATAAGTGGTCTACCATTGACTTGCACTGCACTGAAACCTCATTGGTCTTGAGATTTTCTTCTCATTTTCTTTCTTTTTTCTCCTTCTCATCCAAATTTTTTCTGCCCAAAATTTTTCCAGTGATACACGTGACAAAATAGCAAAGAGTTCATTCACCAGTTTTTCATTTATTTTTCCTTCCAATTGTCCTAACTCAAGCAACGCACTTATGGAAATAAATTTCAACAATCTTTATCCTTCCTTTTTCCTATTCCTCTTCTTTATCCCACCCCCCCTTTCCTATCTCGAAAAAAAAAAAAATTTTTTTTTTTTTTTTTTTGAACTTAGCTTATAAACAAATAAAGAAAAGGAAGAAGAAGAAGGACACGAAGAAAACAAGAGTAGAAGATAAAAAAAACTTTCGTAAAGTTGAGGAGAGGAACGCAACTTCCCCACTTTCATCAATTGGGATGTGATGATGATTAAAACAGCGAAACAATTGCAGTCAGTTTTCTATCTGTGTGTGTTTGTGTGTGTGTGAAGCAGTTAAAATTGAAAGATACGTTATAGCCGTTTCTGAGCCAATAATTTGTAAAATAATTAAAACACAGTTTTTGCAAAAACCGCACTTTTTTAAACTGACTTAAAAAAAA